TTATCGATATAAAACATATGAGATTGGTATCAAACATCAGTCGCAAACGGTAATCTTTCTGTTTGTAGTTGAAAAAATTCAAACAGTTTCCATTCCCTCAAGTTCGAACTAATGTAAAACGATCTCCCAAGGAGTGAAACCCACACCGAGAACCGTCAAGAGTGCCTGGTGTCTGTGAACAATCGAATCCAAGCTTGATACTCTAAATTGATTAAACCATTCGCACAAGGTGATAACCGTCGGCCGTGTAGCTCAGGGGTAAAGGTTTGAAGTCCCGACCCGACTGATCACAGTTCGAGTCCTGACAGGGACACAAAAGGTGCGCACTGCTGACGAGTCCCAAACAGGACGAAACAGCTGTCCAGTGCTCTTTGTTGGTTATCACAAACCGTTCCATCGCATTTAATGTAAAACAGTTTGGAAGTTGTTAAACAGTTAAAAACCATCGAAACTACCATATTCGAAGCACATACACTTGGGTAGAGCACTAATCGAGATATTTCCCCGTTATGTCCTTGCCAGGTTTTTGTACGAGAAATGGAACGTCATTCTGGTCGCAGTTCGATGCTCCGAATTGGAAAAATCAAAAATGATCATCAATCCGATTGAGAAGAATTGCACAGTCAATCCGAGTAAAATGCGTGCAATCGTGATCGCCCGCGATTACAGTGACGCCCTACAGTAAATGAACTCGTTCTATATTCCCCCTGCAAGTGGCCCACACCTGGTGCACACGGGGCGTGGTTGTGTGCTTTCGAAACCAGTTTGCAACTCAGGAATTGAAGACATCGATAAATAAGGACTCTTATTTCACAGTGACAGCAAAAACAGTTATACCAATGATAATAGTAATAATAATACAAAATCAGAAAATTAATCAAATCGGAAAACACTCTGCTCGAGAGTAATATAAAATTAAATCGATGTTCTAGTGGTGAATGAATTGTAACCTGTCGAGAGGGTTTTACACAACCCACTTGATTGTCTTATTTACTACACAGCACTGTTATAACCAAACCATACTTGGTGCATGACAACATGCATGAATAAATTTTACCACGACAGAGATTATTGATTAAACGTTTCTTTCGTTTACGTTTATGACAGCTGCGTCAAATCAAAGCCAAAACCTTGGCAAACCCCAAAAACGTTCAGTTGATACTAAACATAACAATACATGGGTGAATTTTATCGTGCTCAGAGCAAATGATATGCGGAATGCTAGGAAACACTGTACAGTTGTTTTGTCTGGTCCGATTTGATCGACCTGATTTAGGCTTGAACCCAGGACATCACAGACAGGAGACAGGTATGCGCACTAACCCTTTTGACCCCCTGGAGAATCTGATCGAACCTGCCTTTTATTTTGTAGATTGGTTGTAGTCTACCTGCAAGGTCCCGGATTCACCATGCTCAATAGGGTCGAAGGACCTGTCCTTGTTGATGAGGCCGAACAAGTTGGAAGCTGCTGCATCCTCGATTTTAAGCTCACATATCATTTGTTCTTTACATTAGGAAATGCAACGTAAAAACGAATCATAGGCCTGACTTCTGTTTTGTACTAAGTAGAAAACTCGGATTAGCGTAGCGCGATCCTCGGTATTCGTCAAATAGTCAAAATACATGAGCTCCCATGGAGACACATTTCCCACAAAACTAAGTTTATAGTTCCGAGAGATAAGCCAAATCCGAGAACCAATTCCGATGTTTCTAAGGTCATTGGTGAGTTAGTAAATTTAAATCTGAGGCCATTTTTTATATCTCAAAAACGCAAGCAAACGAATCAATAGACAAATGTGCGGGAAGTAAATGATCAGCATTTCTCACTCGGCAATTTTATGCTACATCCTTCTATGACGTGTAACCTCGATGAATACATTTTATTTTTTCATGCCTGAATCATATGATAACATCATCAGTCGCAAACAAACTCGAAATTCAATGATGCTAATGTTGTTAGCCTGATCCTAAACTGATAATTCCTAATTTTCGAGCAAACTGACCACAGTCTGGGGCAAATGAAACTGCTTTGTTCCCGTGTGCCCGAATAACTAGATACGCACTTGAAACAGTACCTCTTCTTGAGGGAAACATCTTCGAAACTTCAATCACTTGTGTATTGAAGAATTCGCCATGCCTGTGGTCCACTGCCTGGAATCACATCGTTTCCACCAAAACCGTTTCTCCAGGTGCACTAAGGTAATCCACACACCCGTGATTGCAAGCTTGCGGTTTCCTGCCATAGACGATGTGTTACCATGTGATGCTAACATATATGTTACTAAGACGTTTGGTGATCATGTTCTTCGACGGAGCGGTTAGTGTGTTCCCCAATATTTGATTGTGAAATTGCACGCATCATTCAATTTACGATTACAGGTTGCAGGATTACTGCACCAGTTGTTTGAGTCACCTGACTGGACATCCATGCACGTGCCGCAAATCAGTACGCACTCGACGACAGAAAGTTACAATTGAGAGAGGTAAGTTAGTTAACTCTCGTTTAGGTCTCAGATATCTATTTATACTTACTTGTTCATAATGGTTGCTTGTGCGAAAAAATGACCGAATGATTTCGTTTACTCATGAGTAGGTGAACGATCAGAAAAAATGAGCTTCTGAAAGGCCGCTGCCACCGAGATGTGAGCACAACTTATTCCAGAGTACTGGGTTTCCATTTGTAACAAATTGTAGGATGATATCTAGAGATATCCAAGTTAAGGGGAGATATAAACAGCTTCCATTCTAATCAAAGGGCGGGGCAGAGTTTATGAGGTATGTAGTGGCTACTGTAGATTTATGCAATTTGTAACCAGTACATGATAGACGACAATGGTCGACCTCGATGAAAATCGAGTGACTATTCTAATACACGCATGCACACACACACACACGCACTGAAAAAGTTTCTTCTTCCAGCTTCCTCTGGTAATTCTTTGATGTATTTTTTCTTGATCCTCATCTTAATCCATTATGTTCAGTTCTTCCTCGTTTGAAAAGCGCAAATCTGTTTCTGACAAGCACGATCAGTTGTGGTATTCATGTTTACTCGTCGCATCCTACAATCATTATTTATTTTTTTAAATATTTAATCATATAATGTATGTGTATATATGTGTAAAAGACCAGTCTGTTATGACTAAGTATCAGTTATCGATAGCTAAGGTCCCCGGTGAATCAAGTGGTGGATTGCAGTCGTGTGTTTGTGCACGTGTGTGTGTGTGTGTGTATGCAAACACCGGCTTGTGATATAGAAGTTTACTCAACTATTCTCAAAGCGTCCGGGAGGAGGTGATGGTTCGCGCCGATTCATTTGGAAGTGTAAAAATCCAAAATCAATAAGACTCGTTCATGCACGATAATTGCACAAAGTGGATTGATTGGGATTGACAAAGACAATGATTGGGGAAAATGATCCACTTTCATTGAATTTGGGTCAGTACAGATTCAGCACTACATGGGGACTAAATCTGTGGAGCTCGATCAAATGGAACAATGTGATCATCTCATTCTGTTCCGAGTTGAGTCTCATTAGATTACATGAATCAACACTGTGAATGGTAGCAGACTTTGAATGAATGGGTTATCAGGGTGAATTTTGTGGTGTTTCCTATTCTTCTTGTGATAACATATGCTATAGCATTTATATCAAATGTACATTCCTGATTCGAGCACTGTGTAAAATGGTTTTTCATAAAGAGTAATGCCTCACAGTAAAAAGCTTTTTAAGTGAATGCGGAAAACAGGTATTACTTACTTAGCCTCAAGTTACCGTATCCAATTAAAAAACAGTAAAAAATCTTAAGTTCTTTCACTTGAACATAACATCAACCACTGCCAGTTCTCAGTCATTTTTACTCTGTGATTATGGCGATCACGTGAGAAAGGTTTCAACAACATCACGTCTAATTCAACGTTCGATTAATAAGCGTGTACAGTAAATTAAGCGAATTTGAACACATTCAAAACATTCCGTTTCCGGGAAGCAACCGAATGTAAATATGCGATTAATTTTATGAAAATCTTAAATCATTTGACGATCTATTTGTATGGGATTGAGAATCAGTAAACAGTTGCTCCAAAAAGGGAAAATATCTAGTAACAGTGAACGCATTTTTTGATTCTTAAACTAAGGCCTTCCACAACTGTACCCGAGCCCGACTGGTGAGTCTTTCCTGTACATTCAATTCACTGCCACTATGCCACTTATCTTTTCCTTTTCTATTCTCTCCCGTTATGACAGATTTGGCTCTCTACGAGAAAATGGGTCGAACAAGACAATTGGAGGGACTGAGGTAGGTTGTTGGGGTAGCACAACGGGGTGTGATTTTCTGGTCAACAGTACAATTTATTTGTCTATTCTCGGCTGGAAATGTCATTGGTTAGACTGATATTTGAACTGACAATAGATGTTGAAAGTCAAAGGTCCTGTTAATTACTGAGTGAGTGGAGGAGAGAGAGAGAGAGAACAGTTGTGACCCTGAATTTGGTACTATTTCGATGTGAATGGATGAGAGACAAGTCGTTTTGGAATGGGCAAGTGTTACCATGATCAAGCATGGAAGTCTCGGCAATCAATAACTCCCTCNNNNCCCCCCCCCCCCCCCCCCCCCCCCCCACACACACACATACGAACGTGGAAATCTATTTTCACCCATTGTGCTCTAATGCATCTGGGCAAGCTCTCAATAATAAAACAATGAACAATAAACAAACGCATTCCTATTCGTAGTCATGCCATTAGATAACATTAAATATGACTAACAATAAGAACCAAACAGGGAATGAGAAATTCGAATCCTAGTTATTCAGCAATGGCTTCAATCATGTGTGCGTGTTTGTGTTTGTATGAAATTGATCACAGTATCAAAAGAACAGTGAAGCATTGTATCTTAGCCACGGTCGAAGCTGTAAGTATTTGGATTCACAACCCCGCTCCTCCCATATTGTGTGCCCATAAGAAATTTTTGAAAGCACTTAAACTCCCCTGGCCCACTTCAGCCACTCCAACGCATGTGCAATCACATGAACTTTTGACACTGTGAGCAATTTCACACAAACACATGCACGCATGATAGGAGCCGGAGCTAAACCATTAAGAGTTGAATTTCTCATTCTCTGTTTCGTTCCTATTGTCATTCATATTTAATGTTATGTAATGGCATGAATACGAGTAACTGAAAACGAGCTTGTTCGCCACACTGTTGTTCTCAATATGTTCTGTGGGACTAATGAAACGACATTCCTATACGTTAGTTCCCCAATGAAAATCACGAAATGGCGCCAATCTGTGGTCAGAGTGTGAAAGATTGAAGGTTTCCCCGTGGCATTTTGAATCTCAAAGAAGAATGTCTGTTTTTCGCAACGCAATCCCACGACCGCGTTTAAAATGGTGATTTGGTGACATGCGCGACATTTTGTATTAGTAGTAGAAGTAGTAGTAATGTTGTGAGGTATTATTTGCTCTTGTAACTAGTTTCCAAACATCACGAAGCGGTTATTGGATTCCCACGGAATTCACGAATGAACGAAGGGATTTACTTTTGTAACTACAGCAAATGCGAATCTTCTGACGGACCATTCCTTTGATTATGCTGCGTGCTTGTAGGAATTCTGATGATCTGTTCCACATAAAAGGGTTGGTTGTATGAAAACCAATTTATTGATACCCTCCCCGTGTTTTGTACTCAACAAGTCTCCTCGTCCCAGCACTGCCTCGTGGAATTATAACAGTAGTAGTAGCAGTAGTAGTAGTAGTAGTAGTAGTAGTAGTAGTAGTAGTAGTACTAGTAGTACTAGTAGTAGTAAAGAGATCCTTTTCACTTTCAGAGAAAAACAAGAAATGGAGTGTTTAGAAGCATTAATGGCGTGGATCATGGATAATGTGTGCATTCTGACACTCATACGTGCACAAGGGAGCCTGCAGGATTATGACTACTGCCTCATTTAGATAAACATGATTGTCATTGTCTACCAAATGAGTGGGAACCGCACTTCGATTCGGTCCAGAACCATGTTGACTTACACGACGGAGCGTTCTTCGATGCAATTTGACAACTGCCTTATCGTTTAACCGACATTCGCTGCGTCACAAACGTATTTGGACCAGTAAACAGCAGCAGAGGAGGTCACCGTCGGTAGTTTGTCTTTGTTTTTTCCTCTGAAAGACCACTGTCGATACGAGGCTCTACGCGTGGCTTTTACTGCTCCATTCTTATGAAGGGTATACTCACTCTGAAACGGAAAACCAATAAACTTTGTTAGTATATATCTTCGTTACTTGTTTTCTTCATGTTAATTTGGATGAAACGACCCCGGGGAGCGTTGGTATCTGAGCATGTGTGGGATCAGTCAGAGTTCACCTTTCCACATGTCGTGTGAGCAGATGCTTGCAAACTTTCGATACAAACATACTATATCAGGTTCATCTTCTGTTCATTCGACACAAACCTATGAACAGTTGAGAATCTGTCGCTCCAAGATTTCCTACAGTACATACGGAGTAGTACAAATCTGTCACATCTTTTCATGAGCATTATATCTAGAAAAAGTATTCGGTCATCTTTCACTTCCTCCTTTGTAAATTGGATAGCCTAATGAGCGGATTTAAAATGATTCAGTGGTTAATGATACTGTTCAATGGATTAGACCCCAAGAAGAATTCATGAAGAATGTCCGCTAAAAGTAGCCTATTTCGTGAATCGATTATCGCTTTTTCATTTGATCGCTTTGTCTTCCCATTTTACCGACATGAAATTAAATGTGTGCTGAAACAAGAATTTGCGAGTTTTGTTTCAATTCAAATATTCCTCATTAACAGATACTTCTACCTGGCTGACTTCCGCTCATAGTAAAGTATTAAAAGTCATGTCGTAACTAAGGAGATCGTCATTCTATCAAATACGTTTAGTTTCCGCATTATTTAAAAACCCGGAGCATACTCCGGTCACTATTCGTCGAGGACTGCTCCCGTTCCACATATCTTGATGCTACCTTCCTAGTCCCCCCCCACCC